TTGTAACCAATGCATGCAGATTTTATCTTTTGCAATTGGCTCGTAATCATTTTTAGTAATAGGCATAAATTGCAAAAGGCTCCCGATGACAAATGTGGTGAAAGTGATATTATTTTTCTTAAAAAAAAAAAAAGGCTTTTCAGTCCAGGAACCTTCATTCTCATTGAAATTAAAAAATCCATAATCTTATTTGTATTCTGACACAATCGACAATCAGAAACACTATATATGTAAGTTAAAGGCGGGCGGTTTACCATAACTATCATTACTCTCTATAATGATAGGATCCAATTGTCTTGATGAAAGGTTTGAATTATAATCCAATAAAGAGAAGATTCAATTCTCTGGTTTGACAATCATCATAACCATTTTCCAATAACATGTTCATATCATATTTTTTATAATTATCAATAAATTTTCGAGCCTCAGCAATAAAACGCAGGGCGCGCTAGAATTTTAGCGCGATTAACTGCCGTTAATATTGAATTTTGTTTTATTTAGATCCAAGTTTCAGCTATGGCGATAATTGAGATAAATACGAGTGAATAGGAAAATATCTTGCAACGATTGAGAATTATTATCATCCAAAATTGTTTCAAAAAGGTTCTTTTCCTTTAAATAAGTGGCGAAATAGCCTTCAGCCCTTGTTTTCAAGGGAAATGATATTCGGTCAATATATTTGAAGTCTTTGGCACGGTGGATATTTCTTTAAACCATTAAAAATTAAATAAAAAATCTTATCAAAAGATTTGTTGAGTGAAAATTCAATCAGTTATTATTTATTATTTATCACCTTTACTGATTTATATAAAGAAACATCACAATCAATTTTTTATTTTCTCGCCAATTACTTTCTAACAGCAACAGATATAAGATAGATATAGACATAATTTTTTTTATCATAAACAATAAAATGTTCAAAACTCAAGAATTCGACTTTTTTATTATGAAGTAAACAAATAAACTGATGATCAATAACAATCCTGAGTATATCGAAGATTCCTCTTCTGCTCGACGGTTATACAAACTATCAAGTATAGCCTTTTGTTTTGAAATTTCTTGATTTTCGTATATAAGATAAGAGGCTGTAGCCTTTTAGTTTATCAAAAAATATTTTAACAATAATAACAATAACCATACTGTTAATTAAAGTATCTCGCATGTAAAGGTGTCACGAAACGATTGGGACAATGTTTTTCTTGTTAAGCATTATTTTATTTAGTAAAAAGAAAGAGGAATGAATTTTTCGTGTGAGAACCCCAAAAATCTATATTTAAGGGTGGAACTACATATGTAACCAATTTAAATATTAAAAAGAACCATCTTCACAAAGTAGCAACGGCAGTAATTAATTATGTGCGAATTTTCTTTTCTGTGACCACAACAAATAAACCAATGCCAATTATTCCTTTACTTTACATTATCAAGTGAGTACTTTAAGAAAAGAACCATCACTAATTTGATTTTGTAATTATTTGTAAAACGTATTATTAAAGTCACATGACATTACACGTTTCAGAGACTCCCTACACCCCCTAAATCAAATGATATTTGGCGGTCCCATAATAAAATTAAAATGTATGAATCTATAATTATTCGTACATAAAATGTTAGTGTTGTGTACGTGCTTGAAAGAAAATACAAAAAAGTTGGGGAAAAAAAAAATTAAAGAATGTGTAATTTTAAAGTTACGCGTGACTAGTACAAATCACGCTATCGTGTCAAAAAAACCAAAATGTATTGTAATATAGCCTTTTTACTATTATTAATGATTTTCTTTTCTAACATATTTATCTTTTCTTTTATAAACTTATTAAAATTTCCTCACAGATCTTTGCTTAAATCTTTTTAATTTGTATTATTAAGAAATTATTGATTGATAAATTAATATTCATTAAACTGATTGATTGATAAATTAATTGATAAATTCGTTGGTAATTGATTGATATAATGATGCTAATTAATTAATTAATTATTCATCTTCTTGTCTTCGCGATGTTATTCTTGAGCTCTTATAGCAAGCTTCCTTCGCGACACTTTTCTTTCCGATATTTATATAGTTAATTAAAATTAATTAAATATGATCTTCAAAATTCTTTGTTGCTATTTTTTATTTATTTATATATATTTGTACATATATATATATACATATATATATATACACATTTACATATATATTAATATACATTATACAATGAATAATTCTAAATTAATTAATTATATATTAAAAAAATAGTGATTGACTCATCTTTGTTTACAATCTTTATATTCTAAATTAGATGACTTAAATAATTGAACATGTTGAATTATTTCGGTACGTAATACATGACGCGTGGAACTTTAAAAATTACAATATTTCTCTTCTTTATTTGTTATATGTGTGTGTAATAATAGTGAATAACATAATGTACATATTATTAATATTAATTACTGGTTTGAATTAATTAGTCATTAGTCATTTGGCTTTTACACACAAAAAAACACACATACCGTTTATTACCAAATTCCTATAATATTTATTATTGTTGTCATATATTACGTTGATTATGAAAAACTCCCCAAATAATTTATTTTGTACGAGATTGATTGGTGTAGCACGCACTTTATTAAGTGTTGTCACTTCACTTAATTAGTCACAGGTTATGAATAAAATTGTAATAAATAGAACAGTGATAGTTTTTTATGATTCAGTTTGGTTTCTCTCCAATCAAATTTTTATCTTTGATTTTTGATTTTTGAGGACCAAAATCCTTTAATAAATATTTTTAAAAATATTTTGAAAAGTAAAAATAAACAAACATCATTAATATTATTTATTATAAAGACTTTCTTCAACTACTTACAAAATAATAATAATATATTAAAACAACTTATTATATAACAGTCTCCTAGATATATATACATTGTTGTTTTTGTGCTTCGTTTCTTTTTACTCCTAAATATTTCTCACATCTCGCACCTAATCATTCTCATTTCATATTCTCAATTATTCAACACTACTCACATATTCTCACCACCTTACCTCACCTCACCAAACTCACCATCACCTTACTTTAAATTGCCAGCCGGTAAATTTAAATTTTCAAGCTCTTCAACGAAAAGGCTTCTAGGACAAAAAAGCTCGCGTCTGTTAATATATCGGATTCTTTATTGGTACTTGTTATTTTCATTTTTATTATAATAAATAATATATTGTTATTATATCTCTATTTTTTTTCAAGTTATTATTTTTATTTGAATTTCTTTCGAGAAAAACTGATTTTTATTACAATAAAAAATTTAAAAATTTAAAAATACTTATTATTAATAATTATGGCGTGATTATGAATGTGTGTATTTGATGATATCTCAACAGCAGGTTGATGCATCAAAAATTTATTATTGTTGCTATTATTATTTTATGTATTATATATTATATGGTGTTATATTTGTTATTTATCATTGATTTATCAATATAATTAAGAAGTTTAAAGACCGAAAGTTTATAAAAGTTTATTACATATCTTATATCATTATATACATATAAGTATAAAACGAATTCTAATCAATTTTCCTTTTTTTTTTTTTAAAAAAAAAGAAAATCTTCAAAAATCACAAATCAAAAAATATAATTAATATTTTATAGTGCCTTCTTGCCAGACGAAAGAAGAATTCACCTGGTCAAAAAAAAAACATACGATATAGGAGCAACTGAGAAAGAAAGAAAAAATATATAATAAATAAACGATCCAACCAAAGAAAACAATATATACAAAGCGTCCCTTCATTCCTTTGGTTGAAAGTATTTTTCGTGTACGAGAAATCTCAAAAGGTTTGCGGGGCCGTACAACATTTCTTTTTATTAGGAGCAATAATTGTTGCTTTTAACAGGCATCTCACATCATCATTCTTTCTTCAGATTACTCGTTGATAATTTAGCCTGGTATATCTTTTTAATTTCTCAACTGGTTTAGTTTCTTTAATAATAAAACCATTTATTGATTTTCTTGTAATGTACTAAATCTTATCTACTTTATAATATTATATTTTTATATTCATTTAATCATTAAGTTGTTTGTATAGTCAGTCAGTTCAACAAGAGGAGTGCGTGTTACGTCTTCTTTCCCATTCTTCTTTACCTCACTACATTCTTAATCTTGCTATATATGCAAGTATCTTCACTCCTTTCTATACAACAAAAAAAAATTCTTAAACCTTAAACCTTAATTAAATAGTATTTCAAGTTTTATAAATATATATTTACCAATCATCGCCACATTATTTTGTACATCCTTCTTCCCTTCACTCTCACTATTATTATTTTCTAAATTTGTAATATAGTTAATATACATAATTTCTATTTCCTTTTTTATTTTCCCCTTTTTATTTTAATTAATTATTTTAATTATTATATATATAAACACCCTTCAATATTATTTAATTTACTGACAAATAGTGTCAGTATGGAGTATTAAATTTTTTAAAAAAAATTACCACTTTTTATTTTTTCTTCTTTTCAAAAAGATGTCCATATTTTCATTCAATCAACTTCACCGCGTTAATCATCACCACCACCATCACCACTATTATTTGAGTACTTGTTTATTGGTTGATCAGCGATTCAACGACAACAAAATAGCAAACTCTTCATTCAACATCATCAAATAAAAAAAACCCCATTAACATCATCAACAACATTCTCGATCTATATCAATAATTATTCAAAACAATTATATATAATAACTTTCATTAACTTATCAACAAAAACATCAAAAATACCACAATTTGTAATTTTCACCCCAACAAATTTTATCAATCCCGCGTTTTCTTTCTTTTTCACACTTTACCAACTTTTTATTTTCTCTTTAATCTTTGGTTATTATTACCAAAAATTATTTAAAAAAAATCTCAAGCGGGTTCTTGATTTTATTAATCAAAAAAAAAAAAACAAAATTTATTTCTTCTAAAACAAAAAAAAAAAAAAGCAAAGTTATATAATTAATTTATCAATAATACAAAACATGGGTTTTAAAAGATCTTCATCCACCCCAACCAGACCTGCTACACCAATGATCGACGAACCAATCTCTAAATATCAACAACCATTAATACCTGGACCCTTAACATCGCCGATCATTTTACCATTTAAAATCGGTTCAACAATTGTAAATAGTAAGGATGGCTTGGAGTATCAATTGATTCGGCCACTTGGCAACGGTTCATACGCTGTTGTTTATATGGTTCGCGAAAAATCTACAAATAAATTTTACGCTTTAAAATGTTTATCTAAAGCTGAACTAAACGATGATCATTTGGAAGTTCAACGCAATGAGGTAAATATATATTAATTCGTTTTTTTTAGCGATAAAAACAATTATAGTCATTATTAATTCATTTTATTTATTAATTCAATTACTAACTATCGATTAATTTTTATTGTTAGGTGCTTCTTCATGAAAAACTTTCACATCCTAATATAGTGAAATTGGAACATTATTTTGAAACATCGGAATGGCTCTTTCTAGTGCTCGAGTATTGTGAAGGCCAAGATTTATATTATTGGTTGACTCAAAATAACGATGCCATAGATACAAGAACTGGTAAACGTTTATCAGAACACGAAAGAATAAATCTCGTAGAGCATGTCTTTATGCAAATCTTGGAAGCTGTAGGCTATTGTCATAGTAAAGGTATTGCTCATCGTGATCTCAAACCTGAAAATTTTATTGTCATGGTTAATAAGAACAATAAAAAAAATAAGAACAAAAGCGGTCATGGTGATAATAACGGATATGGATTTGAAATACAAATAAAATTGACCGATTTTGGTTTGGCTACTGATGAAGTTGAATCAATTGATTTTGATTGTGGCTCTAAACCTTACATGAGTTATGGTTAGTTATATTCACTCATTCACTCATTCACTCATTCACTCATTCATTCACTCATTTATTCATTTGTATTGTATTATCTAATATTTAAAAATGGTGTTTATTTTTTTCTTCTATAAATAAATAATTATAGAATGTCGTAATCCCATAGATGAAACATATAATACACGACTCGCAGATATTTGGTCATTAGGTATAATTTTTCTTAACTTGGTCTATCATCGTTCACCATGGAGTGATCCAAATCCGGACCAATGCAAATCATTTGCCTCATTTCGAACCGACAAGGTTGGATTTTTGATGCGAAAATTTCCGAGAATACCAAAAAAAGTTGCATACTTTTTGGCAAATTATGTATTCAATAGCCCTGAAAAAGGTCGGATTGAAATTGATCAATGGAAACTTTGGTGTGAAGATTTAAATGAAAAAATGAATACGGCTATTGACAGTACTAAAGACGAATCCTATAAACCATCGAGTCTTAATAGCAGCAGTCGCAGCAGCAACAAGGAGGACAATAACAAATATAATATTGATTATGACGATAATTATGATGGTGACGATGATCATGTCGCACGCCATGATTCTTGGTCAGATATTTTAGGGGCATTTGTCAAAGAATTAAGCATCAAAGACGATGACAATGATAATAAAGTTGAAATTAATAATAATGATGACCGTAAATCAATCACGTCACCATCATCACCATTCAAGGAAATTAATAATGATGATGATTATTCACCGATTGAACAGCAACCAATTATTATCACTAATGCTAACGCTAAACCACCGTCATTGACTATTGTTGTTAATGATAACGAAAATCTAGATTATGATGATTCAATTGCTGCTAATAACAGTGACGCTGATTCTGGATTTGGTACAGATGAAGATACCAATAGTAATATTATTAAACGATTACAAACAATCAACAATAATCATACACAACAAGAAGAAAATTTATCAACGACTACAAAAACTAGCGCCATTGCTACAAATATTGGTAATACTACCAATAACAATAGAAATAGTAACAGTAAAGTTCTTTTATCTGTTACACCACCAAAAATTATTTATTGTAAAGCTAAACCTTGGGATGAGCCATTAAGAACTCCTCGTGTAGACTGTAATGATTATCATCAACGTGATGACACATCACCGTCATCACCAACAACTACAACATTTAATGATCATTGGTCTTCATCTAATCAACGCCGTGAACGTGTTGAAAAACGTCGTAAAGAAAAACAGGAACAACAACTTTCTGTATGGGGTGCTAATAGACGTCGCGGATCTTTGACCAATAATAATAATTTTAGTAATGAATCAACATCACCTTCACCATGGGATTCATTTAATAATCGTTATAATCAAGTCGAGCATCCTACTACGCCTACCAAGCGATCATATAATCATTACAACAACTACAACAGCAACAAAATTTATAATAATCATTATTTTGGTCAAGATTATAATAATGATAACAACTATAATAGTTCACTTTCTATCAACAAGTCAAAAAATGTAATTAGTAAGAGATCTGCGCCTTCTTTACATCATTCACCACGTAAAACAAAAAGTTCACAATCAATTAAAAATTCTCATCGGACTTCATTTCCGACCACAACAACTGCTTATTATCATCCATATCAATCAAATGAAACAACTACAACTACTACTAAATCATCATCAACTGATCCAGTTGTTTTAAGTACACCAAAGGACATTATTAGCAACAATAATAAGAACGATGTTAAAAATAGTTCTTTCGCTTCTTCCAGAGTAACCTTTTCAATTACAACAGCTTCCAAAGCAGAGTCTACAATAACTCCTTCTCGTGACAATAACGATAATAATAAAAGAACAGGAACTCGTTCACCACCACCATCAAAATATTTTGAGAAAACTCCAAAGAAAAAAGTTACTAAATCTACAAAAACCAATTTGAGTAAAATGTTAACTGGCGTGGTAATGTTTAATCGTGGTGTTAAAGTTGGTGGACAGTCAAATAATGAATTTTGAGGACAACTTTTATGAGAGC